TGGATTCTCAACACTTCCCCTCACTTGTGGGCTTGGATAATTGACAAGGCCCAATAGGTGGAAATCATAATAAATGGGGAGGAAACAACAACGCAGAGGTTCGAACACAGGACCTCCCACTCTGATACCTTGTTAAAGATGAACAAACCACCACTCAACCCAAAAGCTTAGCTGATGGGTTGGGTAAATTTAATTCATTTATATGGATTCTCAACAAATACCAATTGAAGTTTCTCTCTTTTTTGAAGTTTCTCTCTTTTTTGCAGGCTCCATCTAGTAGGAATTTTCCCACCTCTTTTCTACTTCAAATTTTTTAATAGAAAAGATATCAAGCTTTCATTGAGATAAAAATGAAAGAATACGAGAGGAGCATACAAAAAACTAGCTCTAGCAAAAGGAGCCAACCTAGAAAATTGGACTTCAATCTAACAAAATAAGACCTAATGGATAATTACAAAAGTCTTTGAACCATCGAGACTCGAAGAGAAACATGAAATCTAATAAGAGACCAAACCTCCTCCCAAATCTCTCCAACCCTCTAATAATTCTATTCTTTCTCTCTATCCACAAGCTCCATAAAATAGTACAAACTCCGACGAGTCAAAGAAAACATTCTTTATCACGAAAGGGCGGACTAGTGAGCATCTCCTCCGTCTACGCCCACGTCGCCCAGACAAGCGAGGCTAAAACCAAACTCACCAAAAAAAAGAGTGCCAAACCAAAGAAGCAAAATGGCAGTAGATGATCCAGACCCTCCGCCACCTCCCTACAAAGAATACAACATTGTGGCTCCATCAACGAGGAGGACCTCATCGATACCAGATCTTGAGTATCAACTATACCATGAAGAACCTGCCACACGAAAAATTTAACCTTCTTTGGAATTCTAACCTTCCACAAGGGAACTGAGGGAAAGGGATCCATCAAGCAAAGGAAGAAAGACCTGCACGAAAACCCTTTCGAAGGACTAGGACCCCACAAACGACTATCCCTTCTCCCTAGGAAAATAAGAAGTACAAAATCAAAGACAAAGAGAGCTAAAATATGTCATTTTCATGTCAGATATGGGTCGACGAAAACTGAAAACAGGGGAAAAAGAAGACCCATGATATGGTAGAACAAAAGCTACCGATTGATGCATCATCAATGATAAATGATACCGACGATGAAACCCCCAACCATCTATCCTCCCAAGAATACGTATTCAACTCAACTCCCACAAAACAAAAGATAAACTAAGAGAACAAAGGGAAGCTATTAGAGATAGCTTTCCATAGATTTCTAGAAGTGCCTATCAACCCCCTCTAAGATCCACTCAAAGGTACAAAGACCATACCTGCTCACAATAATTTTATGTCACAAAGAGACAAGACTCCCGAGGGAACCGTCATATCCACTCGCCAACAAGGCCTTGTTTTGCACCCTCACGTTGTTGGTGCCTAAACCCCCTCGATCCAACGACCAAGACACCAAATCCCAACTGACCATGTGAGAACTCTTCCCTTCCTCTATCCCCTCTCATAAGAAATTGTGACCTTTTCTAAGGTATTGCTAACTGCAGCAGGCACCTTAAACAATAAGAGGAAGTAAATTGGAATACCACTCAAGATGGACTAGATAAGACTTAAAGAGTTAGTCTACCCCTTAGAGAAAAAGCTTTACTTCCAAGAAGAGAGACGTTTTTTACCTTTTCAACTACTGATCCCAATAAGAAACACTTTTAGGATTATGCCCAAGAGGAAGACCCAAATAGGAAGAAGGAAAAGAACCAACCTCACACCCTACCAAGGAGGCCCACTTATCCAACTTAACCTGGTCGCAGTTAATCCCTAACACCAGGCATTTGTCTCTGTTAATCTTCAGGCCAGAAATAGACTAAAAAAAATATCAGAATCATTTTAAGATTAACAAAAGACTCCTCCTTACCCGAACAGAAGAATATGGTAACATCAGCAAACTAGAGGTGGGACAAATGCAAGGTATTCCTACCAATCTAAAAAGCCCTCAATTACATTCCCCTCCACCCCTCTCGAAATGATACTACTCACGATATCCACCACCAAAAGAAAGAGGAAAGGGGTTATTTGTTCTTCTTGGGATGCCTTTTTTCTTTCATAAGAAACATCACTTTCATTATCAAAAGAGGGATGCCTCTTTTTCTTTAGCTTCTTTCTCTGTCTCTTTTGTTTTTTACTCCTAGGTAGTTTGTATCTTTGAACAATTTTTGTTCCTTTTCACATATCAATGAAAAGTTCATTTCTTGTTTAAAGAAAAAAAAGAAAAAGGGAGAGGGGAGAGGGATCACCTTGTCTCATGCCTCTTGAGGCATGGATTCTTTCTACCTTCCAGCTGACCATTAGTAAGGATGGAGTATTTAACCGTTCTAATACAAGATCAGATCCAAGGGTGCCACTTATAATTGAAGCTTTCTTTCCAAAAACTTTGTCCAAAAAATTCCAGTCAATGTGATCATATTCTTTCTCAAAATCAATCTTGAAGATGCTTTCCCAGAACTTTGTCCAAAAAGTTCAAGTTGATGGTTGAAAAGTTACAACTTTGTTCAAGCGTACAACCTCCCATACGGAGCCAAATTGAAAAAAGTTTTCGCCTAAAAGTTCTCATCTCTAACAAAAAAAGGAAGCTTATCCACGAGAGTGCATACCAAATAAATTTACAAGTTACATTCTTTGACTAGGAAAAGTAAAAAAATAAACTTCTCACAATGAAGATGTGAGAGTCCTATTAGAGAATATTAGTTTGTTAGTAGGAAGGGGTAGTATGGTAATTAGAATGATAATTAGTTAGGGTGAGTTGTTATAAATAAGGGTAGTAGGGAGAGGAGGGGGGGATCTTGGAGAATTGTATTTTGGTAAGGAACTTGAGAGAGTTCTTGGGAGAGAGATAGCCCTCTCGAAAAGCCATCGGTATTGTAATTACTCTTTCGTGTTGCAATATAGTGTTCTTGTTAGGTTCTTGTATTCGGGTACCTAACAAATTGGTATCAGAGCAAGTTCGTCCTGGCCATGAATCTGAATCTTTCATTYGAGGCAGTTACGAGAATACGGGGATTATTGATAGGAATGGAGTTGCAGGAATTGTTGAGAGAAATGACAAAACGTTCAAATGAAATGGTTCGAATCACRAAAGAAATGCAAAAGAGGTTTACTGTTAGGGAGGAAAAAGAGAGGTCAAGGAAGGAAGAAGCAACGGCGAAGAGCATTCGGAAGCAGGGACGAAGGATTGCTGGAAGCCGACGATCAGACCCGAGAATGTGGACTGGAGTGCGATGGAAAATCAATCGAGGTGTGGAAAAGTCAGCGTGCAGTGATTCATGGAAAACAGAGGAGAAAAACTTCCCTCAACAAAGTATGAAGAAGCCAAAGAAGAGAGAAAGAATGCAACAACAGCGAAATTGCAAAAGGAAGGACGAAGAAGCAATTGAATGTTTAAGAAGGAACGACAAGAGTCCGAGAATGGCTGGATCAGTTTTGCACGATGGTTTACCAATGAAGAAGCGACGGAAAAGGAAGAGAGAACGAATATCATCAGGAAGAAAGGCTCGGCTACGATTTGAAAGAGAACGGCGACAAAATTGGAAGGTTGGGCGCGAGGAAACGGGGAGGAGACAACTTGCGACGGAAGTTGGAGGGCCGAAGGGAGGTCGGCCATGGTCGGTTCCGGGGCAAGTGAGTCTAAGGAGGAGTTTTAGTAACCAAAAGAATGGGGAAAAGGTTGCTGTTCATGTCGAAAATAAGAAAAAAGGGAGTCAGGAAGTTGACGACGGCCATCACCATCGGCGAAGGCTGGAAAGGTCGGAGAAGAAGGCTTGGTGGGGGCGCCGATGCAAGATTCGTGACTGCGCAGCCAATGAGACAATAGGTCACGTGCGAGAGAAGGGAAAAGAAAACCCTAATTACATGAATGATGAGGGGGAAGACTCATGGGGCCATGGGCTATGTGGGCTGACTTCTAATAGAATTGTTGGGGCCCAATTGTCAAAGGCAGAAAAGGAGGCGTACGAGCAAGGTAAGTTAC